GGCTAAGAAAAGCTGACTAGTCTTTGTAGCAGTGGAATATAAGTGATAAGATTTGCAGCTGCCATTTCAAACAGTGCATTTTTGTCTATTCTTCAGTAGCTTCCTGTGTTTCTATTCATCCTGAATGAATACCTTTCTTTATCTTTCTTGACAAATTTCAACACAGTTGCCTATCTATGCAGAATGCAGTCAGACTCCTTTTATCACCTTGCCTATCCATTGCCCTCCTCCCTCACCCCCACCCAAGAGCTAAACTTGTGGAGATCGATAGATTGTTTGTATGGGTAGAAACAGTAAAGCTTTGCCCAGTGATAAACAATTATTTAGAATAGTGCATAAAAAATTCTGGTCATCAGAATTTTATCTAGCATTTATCTGCATTTAAGAGAATGTCTAAAACCAAATAACTTCAGCTGAGGCATAATGGAAAATCTGAGATCAGTGAAACTAGTTTTGACTAAGAGCTCAGCCATTGATCAGCTATGGGAAAGTTGCTTGAACTTTGCTGTTTATTCCTCTAAAATTAGGATAATAATTATATAATGAAACAAATAGCATAACATTTGACATACATACACTACTATGTATAAAATAGATAACTAATGAGAACCTACTGTATAGCACAGGGGACTCTATACTCAGTGCTCTGTGGTGATCTAAATGGGAAGGAAATCCAAAAAAAGTGGGGATATATGTATATGTATGGCTGATTCATGTTGCTGTACAGCAGAAACTAACACAGCATTGTAAAGCAACTATACTCCAATAAAAATTAATAGAAAAAGAAACAAATAACATAACAAAAGCATTTTCTAGGATTGTACTTGATTAATAGTAGTAATTATAAAAGAAATTAATATTTTAGGGAGGATGAGTAGACTTTTGGAAGGTTATGGGAGAAGATGCCCATCCTATGTCAGCACCTTTAACTAGTGTCAGGGTCTTTGGGTCACCTTCTGTTTTTCCAATTGCTTTCTGTTTTTTTGCCATCAGCAGTTCTTCCTCTATGATCCTTGCTGTTTATCCTTTCCAGACCATATAATCGAGAACCTCCCACCCCCATACCCAGTCTCTTTTTGCATCCCACATTGATGACTGTTTCATCTCTCCAGCCAACTGGGTCGATGGAATAGAAATGCCTATTCATAAAATAAAATTTGTCTCGATTAAGTTACCATGGAGAAGAGCTGTAGGCTTTGCAGTACATTACACGTCTAAAGCAGGGATTGGCAAAGGGTCGGACAGTGTATATTTTAGACTGTGTGGGCCATATGGTTTCTGTTGTAGCTATTCAACTCTTTTGTTGTAGTGTGAAAGTAGATATAGAAATATGTAAACAAATGAGAATGGCAGTGTTCCCTGAAAACTTTATTTACAAAAACAGATGGTCGTCTGGATTTAGCCCATGGGCCATAATTTTCTGGGTCTCTAAGACATGGGGATGAGTCATACAATACTAGTGTTTAAAGGGATATGGCAATCATGCAGTCCAGCTTTCCCTAATGTGTGATCCATAGACAGCTGTCTCCCTGCAATCAAAGGTTAACTGGTCAAATATATCTTTGAAGTGCTACATGATGTTCCCCCTTCTTAGAGGCTCACCAATACATTAGCAATACTCAAGGCCCTGACTTTCTTCAGGGGTGGAATATAAGTAATAAGAATGATAACTTATGCTTTAATAGTGCTTACTGTGTGCCCAGAACTATTGTAAATGCTTTTACATATATTTGTTCATTTAATCTCAAAGCCCTATGAAGTATGTAGTATTGTTGATACCATTTTATAGTTGATGAAAGTGAGGCACTGAAAGGTTAATTAATCTGCCCAAGGTAGCATAATTAGTGGTGCCTCGATACAAATTTACGCAGTCTGGCTCCAGGGTCTGTGCCCTCAGCTACCCTTCCACCTCTGTGTAATATCTAGACACTTCTGGGAAACAGTGTGAGCTAAGAAAGTGCTTCTTTCATCCAGTTCTCTCAGTTAACACATTGGAAAAGCAAGGTCTAGAGAGATTCAGGTGACTTTGCAAAGGTCACAAGTATAATTAATAACTGAGACCAGTCTACAAATCAGTTAAATCACCACCTGGTACTTGAAGAAATGGTCGAATTAATCCTTTGTAAAGACAGAAATCCTTTTAAAAATGAGTAATCGTCTCTAATTTTCCCTTTTTAATTCAGGCTTTTATAACCAGCTTCATTTCAGTGGGGCAAATACAGTTTGATTTTTAAAAAGTAGAATTATTTTCACTTTAAAAAATCTGATAGGGAATCTTCTGTTAAGAGAAATGTGACCAATATTTATCTCTAACTTGGACCTCTTTCCCCGGCTCTGAGCCATTGATTCTCAAGTCTCAGTGTACAGTAGAATCACTTGGGGTACTTGGAAAAAATGATGGTAGGCCCCACCCTACTGCTTCAGAAATTACATTTTAATTGAGGATCTGGTGTAAGTGTTTCAAAAGCTGCCCCCGGGAGGTTCTTGTATGGAGCTGGATTGTGAATCACGTTTGTTATCGTCTGCTAAATTTGTCCACCTGCATTAACAGCTAACATTTAAAATGCTACATGGCATGAAATGAAACTTACGGCTATGGTCCATGGGTTATAATTAATAAAAATGTGACCACATTCCAAGCATGAGTGGAACTTTAGCATTGCAGATAAATTGTACTGGTGGTTATAATATGCAGTCAGTTTTATGTGAGTGGGACGTTTGGATCGACGTGCATAGCTGCAGAACCAGACTAACCAGAAAACTCAGATTCTGATAGGTTGCCAGAAGTCTGTATGGCTCAGATAGAGGCTGGTCTTGACTTTTTAAAAAATTGAAATATAGTTGATTTACGATATTGTATTAGTTTCAGGTGTACAGCAAAGTGATTGTTATTTTTTTTCTGATTATCTTCCATTATAGGTTATTACAAGATATTGAATATAATGCCCTGTGATATACAGTAAATTCTTGTTGCCTATCTACTTTATGTATAGTAGTTTGTTAACCCCATACTCCTAATTCTTCACCCTCCCACCCTCAGTCTTCACTTTGATGTGGCTCTTTAATGCCTGGGACTTAAGGTGGAAGAAACACATACTTTGAAGGATTAGGTTTTGCCACCATTCTCTGCCTACTTACAAATGTTAAAATCATTTATAACAAAAGAATTTAGAGAATAAATCATGTGTAGTAAAGTAATTTAGGATAGAAATAGAACATTTATGAGACGAAATGGGATAGAAATTATCAGGGACTTGAGATGGTCTAATTACTACTATTGAACACTAAATTTGTCTTTAACTTTTTTGGTAGTTAAGGCAAAAAAAGGATATAAATATAGTTTTATATTTTGGCTAAAAACAGCTTTCACTTTGCAGAGAAAATTGTCATTTTTAAACTAATTTCAACCAGCAATTTAACATATATCCTTGGGTTAACACAATTAAAAATATCTTCACCACAGTTTTGCAAAAGTTATAGAAATGCTGTTCAATTGGTGATAGTTGTAAGAACCATCATGTAGTTGAATGAACCAAATATTTTGAGTAAGTAAAGACATTTCTACAGTTGTTCATTCACTCATTCATTTATTCAATCACCTGTTTGCTTTTCATTGCTAATGTTATGCTGGATACAATGTTAAGTTCTGGAAATAAGGTGATCAATAAGATGTCGTGCTTGTTCTCAAGGGGTACACAGTACAGTAGGAGAAATGCTCAGAAAACCCCAAATTTCTAGTGAGAGAGGTCAGAGATGGAAATAAAGGTGTGTATATGTTATGGGAACACAAAGAAGGAGGACCTAAGTGGAGGAGGACCTAAGTGGAGGACCAAGGAAGATTGAATAGGTTTAATCAGGTAGATGAGCAGTGAAAATGCATTCCAAGAGGAAGAACAGCAGGATAAATGTCAGGGAAGGGAGAGTGAGTGGTGCTTCAGAAGAATTACAAGTATCTCCCCTAAATTGGACGGTGGGGTTCATATGGGGCTTCAGAATGAGAGACCTACGTCGGGGTCAGATTCCAAAGGGTCAGGCCAAAGACTTGAGACTTCATATGAAAGTGATGGGTAGTCACCTTAGTATTTTCGGTAGTAGGGTCATGTGATCAGATTTGTGTTTTAGAAAGATCACTTTAGCTACAATGTAGAAGGGAGACCGACTGGGAGATCACTTAGGAGGCTGTTAGTGTAATGCACTTCTTGAGTGTTGAGGCTCTGAAGGAAAGCAATGGGAATGGAGAACAGGGGACCGATTCTGCAGCTTTTCAGGAGTTTGACTTGTATGACTGGGTTAATGACTGTAGAGAGGGGAAGCAGAAAGAAGGAAGAAAAGTTTCCTGGCTTAGGTGACTGGGCAGCTTGTGGCACAATACATGGAAATCTAGAGCAACTGGGGAGAATCAGGTTTGTGGGTCGGGAGCAAAGATTGGAAGATGGTGAAAACGAGTTCAGGTGATACTTACGGGACTATAAGTGGAGAATTCCAATAGAGCGTTGATGTCTGAGCTGGAGGCAGTAGATTTGGAATTTACCAGCATGTAGATGGCAGTTATAGATGGCAACGTATATTAGTGAGATAACTTAAGAGTATATAAATCGAAGAGAGACCAGAGTTTGGAACCCTGAGAAACACTCACACTTAAGGCTTGTAGAGGACACAGAGTTTATGAGGGAAACAGAGCATAAGTATGAATAAACTAGGAGTATGTGGGGTAATGGAAGTGATCAATAGGATACATGTAATTTGGGACAGAGATGTAATTTGGGATAATATAATAAGGATGTAATTTGGTAATTTGATAGATGTAATAGGGAGGTATTTTTTTTTTTTTTTTTTTTTTTTTTGCGGTACGCGGGCCTCTCACTGTTGTGGCCTCCCCCGTTGCGGAGCACAGGCTCCGGACGCGCAGGCTCAGCGGCCATGGCTCACGGGCCCAGCCGCTCCGCGGCATGTGGGATCTTCCCGGACCGGGGCCCAAACCCGCGTACCCTGCATTGGCAGGCGGACTTTCAACCACTGTGCCACCAGGGAAGCCCATAGGGAGGTAATTTGATAGATGTAATAGGGAGGTAATTTGAGAGAGAGATAGAAAGTGTACATTAAACTGTGAAATATCAACTGTGTCAGATGGGACTTGATAGGTGTTGGGTCTCTGGCTGCTGGACTGAATTCTCTTAGTAGAAGCCTATGGATGATTTATATTATTTAACGGACAGATGTTTTAGATATCAGGTATGTTTCAAAAGTTTGAAATCCAAACATTTCTCCACACACTTAAGCCCAGGTGTGAATGCAGAATAACGTTCCTGAAAAATCTTGAAAACATCTAAGCACAGCAGTTGGAGGTGATGATGTCCTTGACCATGGAACATGGAAGAGACAATTTTAGCTTAAAAAATGTAAGACCAGTTTTTCCCAATTAAGCACTTCAATGGATGGAAGCTAATATATGCTCAGTGGAATGGATGATCTGAAATAAATCTGTATTGTGAAGCTATTGCCAGAGTGAATTAACTGCATATAAGGGCACCACATAACTGAAAGCACTCTCGTGATGATTAGGGTTATTTGAAATTCACCAATTTAAATATGACAGTTTTAGTTTGGGTATTATTGGTGCTTAATTGTCTTTGTGAATTGTATTAGACTACATGCCCGACTGTTTATTTAAGACCTTTCCTAGTTAGAAATAATGTAAGTAGACCAAGTATCACTGATATGTGGCATATCTGTGGATTTTCTTCCCTATCTATGGATTCTCAGAATCTGTGGGTAACATAAAGTGAACAGAGGCCTTTTTGATTTGTACCTCCTTAAGTGGGTTTATTGACTGTCATGACTTTGTTTTGGTCCTCATGAAATATATGTGCCCTGATTCCAGGCTGAATGAAAGAAGCAAAACTTCCCGGGGATTTTCTAAGTCCCAATATTATAGTATTTGTAGCTATCAATCTCTCTTCTGTACCTGTCATCTAAACTACTTACATCTCATAGGGGAGAGGAGGTGTTTCTGTTTGTCTTTCTGGAAGCTTATCTAGTTTCTGACACCCCTGACTGCAACACTGCTAATTGCATCAGAGTTCTCAACCATTTAAATTCCTTGGTGTTCCCTAAATTTCAAGTCTTGTGTGTATCATCCCCAGTTTTCAGCATCCACATGTAAAAAATCTCAAGCTTCACTTTAAAAAGATAACACAAAAGGGAATTTTTCCCCCTATCAAGAGGCCAGTGAGCGCTGTAAATAAGGAGAAAAGAGGAATGTTTTAGAACCAAGGAAGGTCATTATGTAAATACAACCATTTGGCTTCCTACAGATTCTTCACTGAGAAATCAAGAAAGAGGGCTAAAGAGATTTAAAATTTTTTCTGTAATTAGTAGAATTTTTAAAAATAGCAAGCCTCTCTGCAGTTATTAGACCTCCAGTATTAGTATCAACAGTAGAGATAAAATGCTTCTCTTTTTGTTTCTACTTGCAAGAGGAACCTTATTTTGTTTACTTCTCAGTGCACCTGAGCATTATGAATTGCATTGATCTATTGTAGAATATCATAATAGCATATAGATTGAATATCACTATTAGAGTACTCCTTGCTACTCAAAGTGTGTTCCAAGGGCCAGCAGCATTGATATTACAGGGGAGCTTGTGAAAATGCAGAATCTCAGGCTCTAACCTAGATTTACTGAATCACTATCTGCATCTATCATAACCCCCAGATAATTCCTCTGTACATTAATATACTTTTTTTTAAATTTATAAATTAATTAATTAATTAATTTTTTGGCTGACTTGGGTCTTTGTTGCTGTGCGTGGGCTTTCTCTAGTTGCGGCAAGTGGGGGCTACTCTTCGTTGTGGCGTGCGGGCTTCTCATTGCAGTGGCTTCTCTTGTTGCGGAGCACGGGCTCTAGGCGCGCAGGCTTCAGTAATTTTGGCATGCGGGCTCAGTAGTTGTGGTGAACGGGCTTAGTAGCTCCACAGCATGTGGGATCTTCCCCGACCACGGCTCAAACCTGTGTCCCCTGTTTTGGCAGGTGGATTCTTAACCACTGTGCCACCAGGGAAGCCCTGTACATTAATATTTAAGAAACACTAGTCTAGATGAATAATAACCATACAAATACCCCAGATGATTATTTTTGGTCAAGAAAATTATAAGGAAAGAGCCTACTGTGGCTCAAAGTACATAATAGAATCCCTTTCACAATAGAACTTCCTTGTAGTTCAGTAAATCAAATGATTAGTTGGCAATGATGAAGAATTAACATAAAAAAGAAAAAAAATCATTTTTTTCACTTTTCCAACCGTCTTGTTTTCTAAATTCATTTTTGTTCCAGAGCTGAAATAAAGACCCACAGGTGCAAAGAATAAATTTTAAAAAATAACTCTTTAGAGAACTGATTAAATAAATCAATCAGTTTCATTGTGTATCAGTTTGCCTACAATGGATATTTCCTTGATGTGAGTTAAATCTAATTGATGGGCAACATATCCTCTGTACAAAGTTCTTACATCAAAAAAACAAAACAAAACCCTACCTTATTAACATTTCCATAATAGAAATGAAAGAGTTGAGTGGAAAACTGAAAGGAAGTTTGAATAGTTTGATATTCTCAAGACTTTGGGCATATGGATGCCATTAGCATGATGTCTAGTCAATGAAATGTTGGTTAATCTGAAACTTGTAAAAATATGCAGTAAGGAAACTTAGAGAGATAGGCTTCATTGAGGGCAGACCTGGTTAAGCAATTGTAAATTATAATATTACATTATTAAACTTAGAGTCATTTTATAATCTTCCCTTTTCTCAATCCTTTCATCCAATTAATGTGCAAGTTCTGTTGGTTCCACTGCTAATGTACATCTTGAATTAATCCACTTCTCTATCTGTACCACTAACTATATTCCAAGCTGTCACTATCCAAAAGGTCTTCCCTCTTCCTCATAGCAGCCAGAGTCACCTTATAAAAATTATGAAATAAGTCCATGTGACTCCTATACTTAAATATCGTTCATTGACATTTCATTGCTTTTATATTCTTATACAAATTCCTTAGTACATCAATGAGGCCTGGCATGGTCTTTTCAATCTGTCTCATGCCACACTTCTTCCTTATTCCCCTCACTCCTGTCTCTACGTTTCTCTTGGTTCCTAAAGTATATACCTCTCTTCCTCACCATAAAACATTGTATGTCTTGCTCCTTTTTCTACATCATGTCTCAGGGTTTTGTTTGTTTGTTTGTTTGTTTGGGGTTTTTTTGGCCATATCAAGCAGCATGTGGGATCTTAATTCCCCGACCAGGGATAGAACCTGTGCCCCCTGCAGTGGAAGCTTGGAGTCTTAACCACTGGACCACCAGGGAAGTCCCTCTATATCATGTCTCAGTTTTAATGTCATCTTTTCAAGGGACATTAAACTGTCTGTAGGAATGTAAGTTGGTGCAGCCACTATGGAAAACAGTATGGAGGTTCCTCAAAAAACTAAAAATAGAATTACCATATGATCCAGCAATCCCACTCCTGGGCATATATCCAGACAGAACTGTAAGTCAGAAAGATACATGCATCCCTATGTTCACAGCAGCACTATTGACAATAGCCAAGACATGGAAACAACCTAAATGTCCATTGACAAATGAATGGATAAAGAAGATGTGGTACATATATGCAATGGAATACTACTCAACCATAAAAAGGAATGAAATAATGACATTTGCAGCAATACGGATGGACCTAGAGTTATCATGTTAAGTGAAGTTAGTCAGAAACAGAAAGACAAATACCATACGATATCACATATTTGGAATCTAACATATGAGACAAATGAACTTATCTACAAAACAGAAATGACACAGATATAGAGAACAGACTTGTGGTTGCCAAGGGGGAGGGGGAGTGGATGAGGGATGAGGGAGGAGTTTGGGGTTAGCAGATGCAAGCTAGTATATATAGAATGGATAAATAATAAGGTCCTACTGTACAGCACAGGGAGCTATATTCAATGATAAACCATAATGGAAAAGAATATAAAAAAGAATGTACGTATATGCATAACTGAATCACTTTGCTGTATGGCATAAATTAACACAACATTGTAAATCAACTATACTTCAATTAAAAGAAAAATAATGTCACCTTTTCAGGAAGGAACTGCCTGATTGTCTTACTTGAATTCTGATTCCTCTGTGGTTCTCTATTTTAACTCCCTGTTTAAGTCCTCAATAGCACATGACAAATTAATTTATAAATTTTATACATTTTGGATATTTATTCATTTATTGTCTGTCTTCCTCAAAGAAAGTAGGCTCCAATAAGGGCATACCTTGACTGTCTTGCTCACCACCGATTGTTGAGTACCTGGCAAAAAGCAGGCATCATTACACTTTTCTTGAATAGAAAGGATGACTGTAGAATAAATATAAAAAATTTCCCATGCTTAATTTTTTATTACTTCCTTGGTCTTCTGTGGTTCCTAATTCATTATGCAAGTGATTAATTTTGAAGAAATCCTTTCAAGTTCATTATGTGAAGAAATATTAAACATGACATTTTACTCTTTCAAGGAATGCTCAGCATTGGAAACAAAATTAACATGCCAAGAGGGTATTTTAATGGAACATTTTGTTGAAATTTGTATCAAGGGAACCAATTGAGGCTGCTAGCCTAGTTATTTGTCTTAGTCTGTGGTACCTTGTGATTGACTTTAAGAAAGTGAAGTGTGCTAGTTGCCGTATTTACCAGTACAATCTGTCAATATGGCATATAAACCAAATTTCAGGTCAACACATATGCAAAACTAAGAAGACCAAACTCTATGGGACTAAGAGTCTGAAGAAATCATGAGTCTGAGAGACTGTGCTCTTATACATTTCAGGTAATTCTCCAATGAGGCGCATTCCCTGAAAGCCAAGCAAAGGGGCCCAAGACTCTACTGTATTTATCAAAACTATTGATAGATACCTCAGGACTTTAGAACTGAGTTATTAGATCAAGAAAAAAGACAAATAGCCCAGCCAGGGGCCTGATGGTCTCTTCCTCTACATTGGAGGTACTCAGGTGATGGATTGAAGGACCTGAGTAAAGGAGGGAGTGTGGGTAGTATTGTGTATAAAGAACAATTTGGCACCACAATCAAACGTTAGTTGCATTTTTAGAATTCCAAACATCAGGATGAAAGGTGAAAAATATCTATTCAAATGCTTAACTTTAAGTGCACCTGATATATGGATATTTGAAGAGTCTGGATAATTGTATATATTTTAAGTCTGAATTTTACACCTTATATTCATTTCCTGGGGCTGCCATTAAAAAGTGCCACCAATCAGATGGCTTAAACAGCAGAAATTCATTGTCTCACAGTTCCGGATGCTAAAAGTGTGGGATCAATGTGTCTGTAGGGTTGATTTGTTCTGAGGGCTGTGAGGAAAGGATCTGCCTCTTTCCTTGCATTGGAGATTGACATCTTATTCCTTTTATCTTCATATCATCTTCTCTCCATATGTGTCTGTGTCCAAATTTTCCCTTCTTATAAGGACACCATTCCTATTGAATTAGCCTACACTAGTGGCTTCATTTTAACTTGATTATCTCTGTAGAGAACCTTCTCTGAATAAAGTTACATTTTAAGGGATTAAGACTTCAACACAGGAATTTTGGGGAAATGCAATTCAACCCATAACAGACCTTCATAATTAATTTACTTAAATGGCATTTTATAATATAGAAAATAAAAGAACATGTCAAAAATATTTGCTTTATGTGGCCAAAAACTACACAGCACATCCAAAAAATCTAAGAAACTAACTGCACTTATAAAAATTCACATATGCTCTATATAGACTATAGTCTATGACCTATAAGCAAACTATAATAAAACTTTTTAATTGGGACTTCCCTGGTGGTCCAGTGGTAAAGAATCTGCCTTATAATGCAGGGAACGCAGGTTTGATCCCTGGTCTGGGGACTAATATCCCACATGCCGCGGGTCAACTAAGCCCGCATGCCACAACTACTGAGCTCGCACACCTCGACTAGCGAGCCCGCGTGCTGCAAACTACAGAGCCCACGTGCTCTGGAACCCATGCATCACAATTAGAGAGAGAAAATCCAGACGCCACAGCTAGAGAGAAGCCCACACGCCACAATGAAGAGCCTGCATGCCACAATGAAAGATCCCGCATGCTGCAACTAAGACCTGATGCAGCCAAAAAAATAAATAAATCTTTAAAAAAAAATACAAAAACTTTTTTATTGAGGAAGTTAATTAGCATCATTCTTTAAATTGGAATTTGTCTTTGAGCAGTTATTCAGCCTTAACTGGAGTCTGTTATAAGCACCCTTTTGGGGTAGAAATTTGGCATTAACAACTTAACACCTGACACCAGAGAACACATTTTCAGCAGAAGGAGCTATATGTGCTAATGAAGCTTAGAGCTTACTAGAGGTTGATTTTAATGTTTCTCTTGCTTTCCCCCTAATGAGATCTAAATTATGGCACTAATAGACTTATTTTCTTCACCTATTATTTAAAAGCCAGATCACATTTTAATTGCACATCGAATTGCCCATAAAATAATAAATAAGGTAAAATGCAGCACAATTATCCATCTTAAGAAATGTGCTAATCTCTTTTTGTTCCTGAATTCTTAGCTGGATTTTGTGAAGGACCTCAGCAAAATCCATTTTCTCTGTCTTTGAAATGGTGCTGTGTTTGTACGGCTAAGAAGAGGGTGCTACAATTCAAGAGTTGTGGTCTCTTGGTGTGATAAGAAATAAACAAAAGCCTATGTTCATACATTGATCCCACCATTCCTGTGGTTTTCCTAATTTTTTTCCTGTGGACAAAAAATAATGCTAATTTTCACCTTCAGGGAAAGGTTATTCTGCCATTTCTTGTGGCCATTAAGGATGGAACCTGCGATGTGGAGTCTATTCAGCTGTCTCCTTTCCTGATATCTCTTGTCTTTTCCACGCTCCCTCCTCCTGTCCGTACCCTGTGATGTTTTTGAAAAGTGCTTGGGTGCTCGTTCTGCTTGATGTACTCATTACTGCCAGTGAGGCCTCCTTTGACTGACAGCTGAGATGGAGCAAGTGAGTTCTGATTCATATGCTTCAGTAGCTGTTGTACCGTAGGTCCTAGCCTGACAAATGAAGCAATTGGTGTAGTATTGAGATGTGATTACCTGGAACCACAAATCCAGATTCACTCAAATGAATGAAACTGATTTTGATTTGCAATCCAAGAAAGTAAGTTTCCAGAATGTCAGCCATCTATTTCTTTCCCCTGGTCTTTAGCCAAGTTGTGATATGACTAGGATGGATTTTATTTAAATTCAATCTTGTTGAATCATAGTGGAAATAGTCAAAACCCAAGTGAATAATTTTTTTCTACAATAATACATTCTTAGTGGATATAGCTGTGTTAAGTATTTGGCATGACTCAGAAAGAGATTTAGTTTTGATGTTTTGGAAGATAATATGCATTAAACATAAGGACACATGTTCTCACAACTACTCTCTTATAACAGAGTTTCCCATTCCTCACTCTCTGTCTAGGAATCAGTTGCAGTCTTGAAACTATTTTTGGAGAAAGTAAGGGCTTCACTTTGTCCATGTGTAGAGCTGAGCAAGTCCACATCCTCTCATCTCCATATTTTTCACCGCTACTAAAAGGTATTGAGATCTATATACTCAGCTCCTCCTGGATGTTTATTGGGATCTGCTAGGCTAGTGGTTCTGGAATCTAGCTACATATGTAATATGGTTAATTTCTAAAAAAATAAAGTAAGAATCAATTCACAGAATCTGAGGCCTCCCTTTAGAGCCACTTTATGAGTATCTCTGGGGTAGATCCTGGTAATAGAAGTTTTTATAAAAGCACTGCATGTGACTTGAATGCAAAGCCAGATCTGGGAACTTCTCTTCTGCATTGACTGAGTGGCAATGCCCATTTGGTACAGTGGTTTCTCTTTGACCTTTCCAAATAATCTATAGTGGAGCTGCGAGAAATCTCTGCTGTAATTCATGATTGATAGTGAGTTATTCATAAAATAGTTCTCTGGAAGTTTTATGATGTCATTTACAATATAATTTTAAGCTCTGCTTTTTTTTTTTTTTTTTTTTTTTTTTGTGGTACACAGGCCTCTCACTGTTGTGGCCTCTCCCGTTGCGGAGCACAGGCTCCGGATATGCAGGCTCAGTGGCCATGGCTCATGGGCCCAGCCGCTCTGCGGCATGTGGAATCTTCCCGGACCGGGGCACGAACCCATGTCCCCTGCATCGGGAGGTGGACTTTCAACCACTGCGCCACCAGAGAAGCCCTAAGCTCTGCTTTTTATTCTGTTATTGTATCTTTGAAGTTTGGTATGTCTTGCATTAAAACTACCTTTACAGAAGATTTTTTATTCCCTAAATCTTATATTTCAACAAATTTCTTCTCACCTTTACAAAAAAATCCTGATTTAAAAAATCATTTAAAGTATCATTGACACCAAAAGAAGATTAAGATGAGATCAGTAAAAATTGATTTTTAATGGTGTCAAATCATTCTCTTTTGAATGAAGTAAAAGTTTAATTACTGTTTAGAAAGGACATCCTGCATCTTATTACTGTAGTGTATCATGTAACTAGAAATGTATCACCTACTATTGGAGACAACAAACTGAAGTAGGATGCATATAAAGGGCACTTTAGCTGTCTAAGTAGAATCTATTGATCTGTGTGTTTCCAACAAGTCCAGTATTTTGTCTCTATATCCCATGTAATGGTTCAGTATAATTTACTTTACAACTTCAATTCTCTATCCTTCACTACACTGCTTGTTTTCAGAATTTATCTTTAGTTATCTGCCTCCTAGTTTCAGAACATCTTACTCTAAAAACATCAGGAATTATTTTATATTAATTTCTTGAATATGTACTCTGACTTCTAGCATTGTTAGAGGAAGAATTAATTATGTTAAATGAAAGTTGGAAGTATCTGGTATAGAAACTGGTATTATTTGTGTGTGAGTATGTGTGGGTGTGTATTTCAAGGGCTTATTTCCATTAGAAACTTGATGTGGGAAATATATATGTTAGGGTACCAACTTTGGGCCTATTTATCTTTGATTTGTTCTGAGTTTCTTAAGGTTACTGGCCAGTTTAAATGCATTTGAAGGCCAGGGCTGAATGAGATGATAAAATAACACCTTTTTATTTAGCAACACAATGTGATCTATATATTGAGTCTGGTTTTGGATTCTGATTTCTTATTTTATAGGGTCAAATGTCCTGATTTACCCTGTATATCTCTCTATGAGCTACTCTTTGGTATATATGCAAATCTTGCATGCCAGCCACTTTGTTTTGGCATTTATTTACTAGTTGAATACTAAGTGCTCCCACTCAAAGAGTACAGTACTCAAGAGAACTCTGGATAACATTTGGAATTTAGCTTACCTGTCATGAATATTCATTCTAATATGTAACCAGTCCACTTCAAGATTTGGATAGTAAAAGTGCACTGTTGTTCAGAAGGTTGTATAACTGAGGTGTCCACTTCCTTCTTTTTCCAACTGAGCGTTCTCAAGTACGCTCAGTTAAACCCCAAAGTATAGGTAAAGCAGCCCAACACTATTACCTACTAGGCATCCAGCAGGTTGCTGCAGGAGGAATCTTTATGGAATAATGGAAGGAAGGATGGAACATCTTACACAGGGGAAGGTTCCTACTCTCACTGAACAGCCGGAGTGTAGGGGCAACGACCCAGGGGATGTGAAGTTTCCATTCCTGCAAAGACCAAATACTCAGCTAACAGTGTCCTGGCCAAGAGTAGCTCTGGGATACTCTAAATGTGTCCCTGCTGGTGGTCTTTCTCTCAGTTCACTGGGCCCAATGGGGTGTCTCAGAATTCTTTGGAGTCAGAAATAAAGTTTAAAAAAAAACTTTGGATCCTGTGCCCTTCTTCACAGCACCTGGGTTTCTCTTTGTTTGAAATTGTATCCTTTTATTGCTCCCATAATAATCCTCAATATCCACAAGGAAATTCCTAGCAACCTATTATACTTAGAACCCAAGCGGCAATAAAAATTGGTTTATCCTCTCTTGGAGAGTAAGTAGGGTTCAAGCTTTAGAAAGATGATGCTTGCTCTTGTAAGATATTTTCATTGAGGATGAATAATACCCACATTTGAGGATTAGTCAGTTGGCTTCTTAATGTTAACATCCACAGTGACGACAACAACAACAACCAAAGGAGAATAGCTAGCTGGATTTCATATTATAAAATAGGGTGAATAGTCTATGCTCTGCCGCATTCAAACGAAGGCTATATAGGACAATGAAAAATTATATAAATAGTCATTTCAATATCAAATAAATTACTAAAATAGGTAAATTATAATAACTAGACATAAACTCCACTGGTATTTATTGTGTATCCACTAGTGTCAGACTTGTTCAAATACATTACTTAATTGTATTTACTCCTTACAAAATTCCTGTGAATTAGTTATTTTGAGACCCATTTTAAAGATGAGCACACCAAAGGCTCAGAGATGATAAGTAGGTTGGCCTAAGGTCAGACAGTTATTACCAAGTGCTTTTAAAAATACTGTGCTAAAATTGGTATTTGAACCTAGTTTTTCCAGCTTGTGTTTAGTGCCCTTTCCATTATGCCACACTTAACATGTTATCCTGCTGTTCAGCTATCTAATATTAGGCTTTTGCTTCATTCTCTATATCTCTCTTCATATACACACATACGTGCATACTTACATATTTCCAAATATGACATGGAATCATATTATCATCAGAATATTGTAACTGATGAGCCACAAACTCTGTGTCAGGTATGTTGGTCTTACTCCAGCTCCACATTCCTTTTCTTCCTACAAAAACTAAAGAGTTCTAGTCCACTCTTATTCCCCTAAATGAAGGTTTCCTAATCTCCACTTTATTGACATTTTGGAGAAGATAATTCTTTGTTGTGGGGCTGTCCAGTGCATTGCAGGATGCTTAGCAACATCTCTGGTCTCAATCTACTAGACGTCAGTAGCACCACCCAGTGTGACAATCAAAAATGTCTCCATAATCACTGTCAGATATCCTTCGGGAAGCAAAACTGTTCCCAATTGAGAATGACTGCTCTAAACTTAAAATGAAAGTAACTAAATAAAAGTGTAGTCCCTCTGCTCTGTTTCTTCCCTGCATATTAGAGACTTTAAGCAATTCGTTTATTTAGGCTTTATATTAGTCAGAATAAGTCAAGTTAGGCTGTGGTAACAAACAATGCCAGAATTGGCTTAACACAATGAGCTGTTAGCTCTCCGGGCTGCTGTCCTCCCTGAGTTAGGTTACCATCCAGGTGACTGCAGCTCCTAGAAGCTCAGCTCCACATGTTCCTTCATACTCATCGCAGCAGGGAAAGAGGGAGTGGAAGGTCACGCATAAGGTCTTAAGTATGTCCCTCTGAAGTCACACTGGTCACTTCAGCTTACGTTTTATCGACAAAAGCAAGTCATGGGGCCATATCTAACTTTGAGGTGGAGAGGAAGTTTAGTCCTCCATGCTTGAAAGGGGATACCTGGGAACACTGGTGAGCATCCGTGATGCCCGCCACCGTCATCTAAGGACTATTGTCTGAACGCCCTGTAATGAACCTAGTAAGGTTCTAGGTTACATGAATCAAGTAAGGTTTGAAACAGATTATTCACCTATCAGTTCTGGAGAGAATGTACTCATGTGAAATAATCAGTGAACAAGACAACATATACCATATGCAACAGATTATAATAACATGTGTTCAATTTATATATTAATTTGGAAAATATTTACATTTTTAAGATACTTACATTTTATGATTTTAAGTCTTGCAACTAAAGAGCATGGTATATCTTTTGGGTTCTGGGACCTAATTCCAATGTATGGGGTAGGGAGTGTTCTCACATATCCAAGCAATTCTCCAGAGACCAGCTTGGTGTCCTGCAGTTCAATGCAATTCTGACACTACCTACCTACAGACAGCATCAGATTCCACAGGTTAAGGGTTCAGTCACACAAGACCCAGCCCCCAACCTGCCTTCAGAAGCCAGTCGCAAACCCAGGTTGTTACCCGTGTTTCTGACTGGCTACGGATTGGAGATTCCCCATACCTCTCCTTAGACTCGAGTTTCATTAATTTTCTAGAGCAGCTCACAGAACTCAGATAAACATTTTACTTCCTAGATCACCAGTTTATTATAAAAGGATGTAACTCAGGGACAGTCAGATATAAGAGACACCTAGGTGAAGCATGGGGAAAAGGGCAGGGCCCTCTCTCAGTTCCATGTGTTCACCAACCTGGAGGCTCCGCAAACCCTGTTCTTTTGGGTTTTTATGGAGGCTTCATTTCATAGGCATGGGTAATAAAATCATTGGCCAAAGGTGACTGATTCAACCTCCAGCCCCTCTTCCCTCCCAGGAGGTCAGGGGGTAGGATGAAAATTCCAACTCTCTAATCACAAGGTTGGTACCCCCTGGCAACCAGCCTCCATGCTTGGGTGTATTCCAAAAGTTACCTCATTAACAAAAGACAACGTTACAGCTCTCATCACTTAGGAAATTTCAATGGTTTTAGGAGCTCTGTGCCGGAAATGGTTATGAAGAGCAAATATATATTTCTTATTATAAATCACAATATCACAGTATGTCTCTCTATTTATTCGTTGTTGTTTTCGTAATGTCCTCTAATAAAATTTTATAGTGCTTTCTCGTTAAAGGTATTCCTAGATGTTTTATAATTTTGTTTTTTGTTTGTTTGTTTGTTTTGTTTGTTTGTTTTGTTTTTGCGGTACGCAGGCCTCTCACTGTTGTGGCCTCTCCCGTTGCGCAGCACAGGCTCCGGACGCGCAGGCTCAGCGGGCATGGCTCACGGGCCCAGCCGCTCCGCAGCATGTGGGATCCTCCGGACCGGGGCACGAACCCATGTCGCCTGCATTGGCAGGCGGACTCTCAACCACTGCACTACCAGGGAAGCCCTTGTTGTTATTTTTGAATGAAATTTTCCCTGGTCCTCCCATTCTATTTCTACCTGGCTATGGTAGTACAGAGAATGGTTGCTTGATTTTTTATATTTTTCTTCATCCAGATATCTTAATACCTTTAATATTTTTCATAGCTTTTGTAGTTTAATCTTTTTTTCAGAGTTACATTTCCTCTTCTT